GGAGGAGGAGGAAACCCTGGGACCCCGACCTCTCGGTTTTTACCCAGGCGCTGGCCCCCGCCCATCCACGGGGACGAAGCCAGGACTGGGACAACGCTGGCCTGGGACCAATCGGCTACCTTTGAGACCTGGTGGCTCTGGAAGATGCATCGGGTGCCGCGGCCTCTCCAGAGAGCTCCAGAACGCTCTGAGAGCGTGTTGGAACGCCCGGGAACGATTGGTCCTGGTCCTTGGCCCGCCCGGTTGCGCACCTTCCCCGGGTCGGCTGTTCAGGCTGGATGAATCCCACCAGCCCTCTGGGCGTCGGTGGTTTAGAGCGTTTCCTCTTCCACCCCTCCTTCTTCCCCTTCGGGGAGGGGTTTACCCCTCCCCCTACCCCCTCCCCACTGACCTGGACAGGGGGGGCCGCGGGTAGTTAGAGCGTCCAAGATGGCCCAACACGGCTCCAAGATAGCCTCAGGGAGCTCAAAATGACCTCCAAGATGGCTCCAGATAGCGCAAGATGCCTCAAGATGGTCCCCATGATGTTTCAAGACGCTCCAAGAGCTTCCCAAAACGGTTCCAAGTGCTCACAAGAGCATCACTAGGATGTCTCCAAGAGGCCAACATGCTTCAAAAGCCTAGGGAAAATCAATGTTTTTGGTGTTCTCATGTTTTCGCTTGCGATGCGCATCCGAGGCGTCAAGATGGCTCTAAGATGGCTCAAGATAGCTCCAAAAGGGGCCCAAGAAAGCCCCAAGACGGCGCCAAGAGCGGCAACGAACGCTCCAAGAGCACCCCAAGAGGGGTTCAGGAGGCGATTTTAAAGGCTCTACAAGGGGGACGCTAAAAAATGCTTCCGCTTTCTTTGCCAGATCCCCTCCAACATGGCTCTACCAGCGCCTCTGATGCCTCCAAGAGCGCTTCAAGAGCGCCCCAAACGACCCATGTGGCCCCAAGAAGCTCCCAAGAGGCCCCCAGGATGCCCCCAAGAGGCTCCCAAGAGACCCCCACGAGGCCCCAAGAGACCCCCCAGAGGCACCCAAGACGCTCCAAGAGGCCTCGGCGAGAATGCCCAAATCATTGATTTTACTAAGGTGTTGGCCACATTTGGGCCTCCTGGGGGGGGTGGCACTGCTTCAGATGACTCCAAGAGCGCCTGGGAGAGCCCAAGATGACCTCCAAGATGGCTCAAGATATCCCAAGATGCCTCAAGATGGCTCCCACGATGCTCCAAGAGGCCCCAAGACCGCTTCAGGACGGCTCCAAGTGGCCAAAGAGCTCCCCCAGGAGGCCCCGAAGAGGCCAAAATCCTTCCAAAACCTTCGGAAAATCAACATGTTGGGCTTTCTCGCCTTTTCGCTTCCGATGGCCATCCGAGGCTTCAAGATGACTCCAAGATGGCCCAAGAGGGCTCCAAGAGCGCTCTGAAGGCTCCCAAGAGCGCTTCAAGAGGGCCCCACGAGGCGCCCATGAGGCCCCAGGAGGCCCCAACAAGCGCCCCAGAGGCCTCCAAGAGGCCCCCAAGAGACCCCCAAGAGGCCCCAAGAAGCTCTCCAAAGCACCCAAGACTCTCTAAGAGGCGTCTGGGACCGCCAAGAGGCCCCTAAGACGCTCCAACCGGCCTCCACTGGGGTACCCTTCCTTTGTGTGCTGCCCACTTCCCTGATCGAGGCACTTCCTCTGGGCATCGTTTCTGGATGGGCTGGTGGGGTCCCGCGAAGCGTCTAGAATTTCAGACGGTCCCCAGGACCGGGAACAGCCTTTGCACGCCGAAAACTCCGGATTACTTCCGGCGCGAGTTTGGCGGGTCCCGAGCATTCGACTCCCGGGGGACGTCAGAAAAAGAGATGCCGTCATCACGGTGTTAGAACGGGCCTGGTAAGGTTCGGCGATGATGCATACTGCGTTTCATCCTCCTCCTCCTCCTCCACCTCCTTTGCCCCTATCCTCATTACTCCCCCCCCGCGGTCCACCGTCATCCCGCCTCCCCCGCCTGATCCTTCCTCCACCATCCACCATCCCTCCTCCTGCCTTTTCTTCCTCCTCCCCTCCTCCTCCTCCTTCTCCTCCTCCTCCCTTTTCCTCCTCCTCCTTTTCTGCTTCCCCCTCCCCGTCCTCTATAACTCTGTGGGCTTCTCCACTTGTCCGCCTTCCTCTGCTCTATCTCCGCCTCCTCCTCCTCCTCCGATTCACCCTCCTACCTCCTCCTCCCTACGCCTCTTCCTCATCCTCCTCCTCCTCCTCCTCCTCCTCCTCCTCCTCCTCTCCTCCTCCTCATCCTCGTCCTCTCTCCTCCCGCTTCGTCCATCCCCGCCCATCCCCCCCCTCTTTTTTCCTCCCCTCTTCCTCCCGCCCCGTCCTCCCAATCCTCGTCCTCCTCCTCCTCTCCTCCCTGCTCCTCCTCCTCCTCCTCCTCCTCCTCCTCCTCCTCCTCCTTTTCCTCCTCCTCCCTCCTCCTCCTCCTCCCTCCTCCTCCTCCTCTCCTCCTCCTCTCCTCCTCCTCCTCCGCCTCCTCCTCCTCCTCCTCCTCCTCCTCCCCTCCCTCCTCCTCCTCCTCCTCCTCCTCTTCCTCCTCCTCCTCCTCCCTCCTCCTCCTCCTCCTCTCTCCTACTCCTCCCTCCTCCGCCTCCTCCTCTTATACTACCCAATCCTCCTCCTATCCTTCCTCCAATCCTCCTCCTCCTCCTCCTCCTCCTCTCCTCCTCCTCCCTCCTCTCCTCCTCCTCCTCCTCCTCCTCCTCCTCCTCCTCCTCCTCTACTACTACTCCTCCTACTCCTCCTTCTCCTCCTCCCTTCCTTCCCCCTCCCCTCCTCCTCCCCTCTCCTCCTCCTCCTCCTCCTCCTCCTCCGCCTCCTCCTCCTCCTCCTCCTCCCCCAAACCCCCCCCACAGGTTCCGCCTCCGCCTCCGCCTCCTCCTCCACCTCCCCGTAGCCATTTTGGCTCAAGGCTTTGTGCTCCGCAGTGGAACAAGTGGATACCGCTAGTCCGCGGCAGTGCCAGAGCGTTTGCGCTCGACGTTTCTTTTGCCAGTACCGCAGGGGCTCCTGGCGGCCCACCTCGGTTACCCTCAGTCCGTGAGCTCCTGTTGGAGCGTGCATGCCATGCCGTGGACGTGGACTTCAGCGGAGCGTACCCCTCCATGGCGTACTAAAGGTGGTGATCAGCAGCGCCGTGATGCTGGTCGCCGTGTCCACAAGCGTCGCCGTGGTGGAGAGGCCTCCCCCTACGCCGTCTGCAGCGCGTGCGGGCACTGGGAGTACCTCTTTCATGGTCATACTGCGTGCAGCCGCTGCAGTGGATCATATGTCATGCGCAACAAGACTACGAGTGAGTCGAGTGCGGCGGTCGACTCACAATCTCTCGACTTGTCAGGTCAAGCAAGTGCGGCTGTCGCCCAGTTTCCTGGTCTTCGTGACGTGCTTGCTCATCATCTACCGCCCCCACCACCACCGAACGTCCCGTCTGATGCGCAGCTGGATGCAGCGGTGGCTGGTGAACGGACAGCTTTGGCGAAGGGTGTGGAGGAGGCGGCCAAGGCTGAGCGCCTGGCCTGGCAAAGTCGCTCTGAACGACAGGAGGCCTTGCTCAAAGCTCGTGAGAAGGTCAAGTTGGCGGAGGCGGCCTTCGCTGAAGCCTCTGCACATCTTGAGGTCGCCCAGTCCGCCCACACCGTCGCCAAGGAGAAGAAGGACAATTTTGATGAAGCTATGTTCAAGAAGCAGAAGATGGAGGCTGCTGCAGCTGCGCAGGCTACTGCACGTGCCCCGTCTGCTGGTGCTGACGGCCTACCTGGTGGTGATCATGGAAATGCCCCTGGCGCCCCTGGACCAGGCCCTGCACCTGCTAATGCCCGTGAAGTTCTTGGGAAGCTACACACCCTGGGAGATGATGACCTACGTAAGCTTGCTGACAGCACCAAGGTCCCCTTCAGTGAATGGTGCAACCTTCGTACTGCCCAGCTTGCTGCTCACAACGTCCTCAGCTCGGTTTCTTCTGGTTCCGCGCCCACCTCGTCTTCGCCTGGTGAAGCTGGCACTGGTGTGGATGCAGATGCGACGATGGGCAATGCGAGCGGCGAGGGCGGTGGTGAACATAAGGCTGTTCCTGT